TGTATAGGTGTGTGTTGTGATGTGTGCGTATGTATATATATGCATAGTATATAGAGTATGTGTGTTGTAATATGTACGAATGTATATATATAGTATTCTTTTGTACTACGTACGTATGTATACATATACAGTGCCGTGCTATGCTCTGTAATATCATAGCTGGTTGTATGCGTTGTTGTGTGGTGTTGTCTGTTCGTACATATAGCTACCTACAGACACTGTCGGGGTTAGGGGGGACGTGCTTTATCAATCTCCCCTTTCTCACAGGCGAAGGTTTAGCCTTTTGCTGTTCGTTCGAGTCATCGGCTTTACAACAGACTCATCTAGTCATTAGTGCATTGGGCTTAATAGTTCTTTCAATGTGGTCTTCAACTGTCTCCAAATCTCTCCAAATCTCTCCACATCTCTCCACATCTCTCCACATCTCTCCAAATCTCTCCAAATCTCTCCACATCTCTCCAAATCTTTCCAAATCTCTCCACACCTCTCCAAATCTTTCCAAATCTCTCCACACCTCTCCAAATCTCTCCAACTCTCTCCACATCTCCCCAAATCTCTCCATATCTCTCCATATCTTTCCAAATCTCTCCAAATTTTTCCAAATCTCTCCAAATGGCGTCCATATATGGCTGCGACAGCTGTTGTGGACACATCTGCGGCAGGTGACTGTAGCTGTTGAATCAAAGGCTACAGCCGTGCACATCCATCTAACCCAATCCCACCCCACCATACACGCCACTCCTTAACACGATCATGTCTCCATCGCTTTGGCTCCCTCTGCACAGAATGAAGGGTTAGAGATGAAGAAGCTGGTGTACCTATACGTCATGAACTATGCACGCTCGTATCCGGATATGGCAGCCCTGTCTGTGAACAGCTTCAAGCGGGTGGGTGGCTTATGTATGTGAGGCAATGTTACAACGCACACCATTAGACAACTGTTTCATAGGCATAGCCTTACACCAACTACACTAACACACCATTGCACTAGCACAACACACCACCCCTATACACACCATCACGTCAACTGCTTCATAGGCATAGCCTTACACCAACTACACTAACACCCCATTACACTATCACAACACACCATTACACTAGCACAACATACCATTACACTAACACGGCACACCACCCCTATGCACACCATCACGTCAACTGCTTCATAGGTATAACCTTACACCAACTACACTAGCACACCATTACACTAACACAACACACCATTACACTAACACAACACACCATTACACTAACACAACACACCATTACACTAGCACAACACACCATTACACTAACACACCACACCACCTCGATAGGATCTGGCGGACTACAACCCTCTCTTACGCGCATTGGCCATCCGCACTATGGCGTGCATTCGCGTGAGCAAAATCAGCGAACAACTGCTGCAGCCACTCCACGCAGGCCTCAAGGACAGCGATCCCTATGTGCGCAAGACCTCGGCCGTGGCTGTGGCTAAGCTCTACGACTTGGCCCCGGACTTGGTGGTCAAGGAGGTGTGTGACTGTGGGTGGGTGGGGTGGGTGTATATGTGCACAAACAAAGACACGCACACATACAAGGAGGTGTGTGACTGTGGGTGGGTGGTGGTGGGTGTATATGTGCACAAACAAAGACACGCACACATACAAGGAGGTGAGGGACGGTTCGCTGGTATACTACATCCTCTACACACTACACTGTCGCTACAGACACTCACACGCTTGTGTACATGCTTGTCTTATTACACAGGGGTTCTTTGCTGAGGTGAAGTTGTTATTGCGTGATCCTAATCCGATGGTCGTGGCCAATGCTGTGGCTGCGTTGAGCGAAATACAAACACTGACAGGCACTGATCTGATTGGCATGAATCAGCAGACAATGAATCAGCTGCTCACAGCGTTAGGTATGTATAGAAGCGATCTGATTGGTTGATTGTTGGCAATATATATATAGAAGCGATTTGATTGGTTGATTGTTGGCATCATATATAAATGTAGAAGCGATTTGACTGGTGGCATCGGGGATATGGGAATATTTATTTGGTGGTATTCTATTTACAGTGGTGATTTGATTGGTTACATCTCAGCTTTCAGGTTTGCTTTTGGCTTTCCCGCACTTCTTTTGGCAATCTCCTGTGCTCCAGCCAACGTACACACACCACGGAACACAACACATGGGCGTACCTCCCTATATACACTACTATACACTTTCATCTTCTTCAATACCCCCTATACACTCTTATACACTTCTCTTATATCCCCTATACACTCCTATACACTTTTATCTTATTTAATACCCCCTATACACTCAGGTACACTTTCATCTTATTTAATACCCCCTATACACTCCTATACACTTTTATACTCAATATACACTCCTATACACTTTTATACCCACACTCCTACACACTTTCATCTTATTTAATACCCCCTATACACTCCTATAGACTTTTATACTCAATTTACACTCCTATACACTTTTATCTTATTTAATACCCCCTATACACTCCTTTACACTTTCATCTTATTTAATACCCCCTATACACTCCTATACACTTTCATCTTATTTAATACCCCCTATACACTCCTAGACACTTTCATCTTATTTAATCCCCCCTATACACTCCTATACACTTTCATCTTATTTAATCCCCCCTATACACTCCTATACACTTTCATCTTATTTAATCCCCCCTATACACTCCTATACACTTTTATACCCACTATGCACTCCTATACACTTTTATACCCACTATGCACTCCTATACACTTCTATCTTATTTAATACCCCCTGTACACTCCTATACACTTTTATACCCACTATACACTCATATACACTTTCCTATATACCCCCAATACACTTCTTTTATACCCCCTATACACTCCTAAACACTTTCTTATATACCCCCTATACAATCCTGTACACTTTCCGACGTACGCCTCGATATACTTCCTTCCCTATACACTCTTCTATATAACCCCTATACACCCCTATACACTTTCCTATAAGCCACCTATACACATATATATACTTCCCCACACACTTCCTTACCCCCTTTCCCCCCCACCACACACACCACAGGCGAGTGCACTGAGTGGGGGCAGGTGTACATCATTGACTTAGTGTCGACCTTCAAACCAGCAACCGCCAGCGACGCCATCAACACATGTGACCGCATAATGACCCGCCTCACCTCAGGCAACTCAGCCGTCGTCATGTCATCTGTGCGGGTGTGTGTTGTGTGTTGTTATTGGCGGGTGTGTGTTGTACGTTGTACGTTGTTATTTGCAGGTGTGTGTTTTGTGTTGTTATTGGCGGGTGTGTGTTGTGTGTTGTTATTTGCGGGTGTGTGAC